TGTGGGCTTTACTCGAAGCCCATCCCCTTTAGCGTGGAATCCAACTTGGCATTCCACGCCCTCGGTGCCTGCCGCAAGCCATAGAGGGCCTTGCGCAGGGCGGAGCACCTTGCCCTCCTTGCCGGGGATCGCAAATCCCGGCGGCTGGTGCACGTAGACCTCCTCCTTCAAGTCGCCGTTAAGGAACGCCGACTTGACGTCCATGTGATGAACACGCCAGCCCTCCTGGGCAGCTAGCGCAAGGAGGAGTCGCACGGACTCCATCCGTGCCACGGGAGCAAAGGCGTCGTCGAAATCGACCCCCTCCTGCTGCACGAAACCTCGTGCCACCAACTGAGCCTTGTGCTTGACTATGGCACCGGCTTCATCCCTCTTCAGCTTGTACACCCACTTAAAGGGTGATCGCGCGGTGACCACGAGGAAGGTCAACAAGCTCCTAGGTGTGGTTCTTCTCAACCGCATCCATCTCCAACTGCATCGCGGCGCGCCATGCCGCGTGTCTCTCGGCCTCTGCATACGACTGAGGCTCGCCGTCATCACACGCAAGGTGCAACTGCGCCTCAAGGTCGTGAGGCACCGGTCCCGGCTGGTCACCGAGAAGGTTCTCCATCGTACGGTACCGCAATGGCTCGCCGTCGTGGTACGCGTCAATGCGCTCCTCGTCGTGAGAGAGCGGAGTAGCGAGCTCAACCGGGCTGTGCTTGACACGAGCTGGAGTAGACGTGCCCGGAGAGGTGCCTGTCGATGCTGGAGTACGTGGCGTTGCCGGCTGTGGTGGAGCCAGCGAAGAACTCATCGCAGCCGAGGTTACGGGCCGAGAGTGGTGGTGTTGTCGGAGTAGCAGCGCCGGGGTCGGTGGAGGCTCGAGTGGACTGGGGTAGATGCGCTTTCGAAGAAGAAGAGCCGCCTACTCCCCAGCTCCTCGAAGTGGGACGCACTAGACAGTGAAGTCGCCGACGTCGGAGCCGAGCCATCGTCCACTACCTTGTCCCATCATCTCGCCTTTCGAACCGAACGGCGTCGCGCGCGCGCGCGCACACGCCGTGTCTTCGGTCGAGGATGCGGTGGCCTTCGAGCCCTCCGTAGCCGATGAACACTCCTGAGTGCTCCCTGTCGCCGAGCTTGCTTGATGTGGCCAAGCTCCTTGGCGAACGCGAGGTAGCCGAAGACCCGCAGGTGGGAGACCGCCGGCTTGCGCCCATGTCAAGCCTCGTACGGTGTCCTGCCGTCGAGCGCCTTGGTAGGCGAGCGGTTGAGGATGTAGACGGCTGTCACCACCGCCTCTCTCCCGAAGACAACCGGCATCCCCCTCGCTTGAGGAGGGCCCGAGCCATCCCCACAACCGCTCGGGTTGCGCGCTCGCCGATGACATTGTGCTGCCGCGGGCTCACGGTAGCAGCGAGTAGTGGCGCTGAATGCCCTCGTCGGTATGAGAAGACGACGTGAATTCAGCCGCCGTGAATTCATTGCCGTTGTCGGTCTGCGCAAAGACGCTGCAGCGGCTGCTTGCGCCGCACTCTCGCCTCGCAGCGAGCGACTGCTGCTACCGATGGCGTCCGTAGCCTCTCCCTTGCTGCCGAGGACCATCACCCACATGTAGCGGGAGAGGAGGTCGCCGACGAGCAAGCAGGAAGTAGCGTCGTCCTCCGGTGTGGCGGTGTCACCGGGCCACAAGTCCCGTGCACAAGCTCGAGCCTCTCCTTGGCTCAAAGCTAAGCTAACCCATTGTGTGAAGGGGAGTCGCCTCGCTTCATCAACACGTAGACGTCGCAGAGCTGCTCCACATGGTCGAGGCATGGCGGGCCTCGCACCATCTCCGTGGCACCGAGCCGCTGGGGCCTCAAAGTGAAGGTGCCCAACGCTGCGTGCCCGCCACGCCTCGTCGTCCCGACGAGCGGCCGAGACAGAGGGGTTGTGCCACCGCACGTTAAGGACGAGAGTCGACGGCGCTTCGGATACCTTGGCAAGAAGGCGACGACGACGATCCCAAATCCTCATGACTCCGTCCTCAACCACCACGCCGCGAACCGTTCTCATCCAATTTGTCCCAAGGCGATGATGGAGTTCCTCAACGCGAGGATGTAGTAGACTCCGTGAGCGACTGTGCTCACCAGACACGGTGGTGAAGATGACGGAGCCGACGCCTTGATCTCCACGCCGGAGGCATCCCCAAACTTGAGCGGAGCCTCGGACGCTAGAGTCAAGCTCGGTGAAGAACTCCCGTCGACCGGTCATGTGATGGGTGGCGCCGGTGTCGAGGCACCACCCGTCGATCTTGTCATTGCGGAGCCGTTGCCGAGGAGGCGTGTGCTTTTGGCTCGTCAAGGTGGAGGAGAGCCGCTGCGGCGGTCACCGGAGGTAGCTCGATGCTTGGCATGTGCCATGAACGAGCCGGCTCCTCCTCCTCTCGCTTTGGCGACGTGGGCCTGGCGCGTCGTCGTGGTTGTCGACGATCCTTGGCCCAATGGTTAAGGCTGGCGCAGATTGCGGCAGGTGTCATCTCGTGCCGGCTTGTGCTGCCGTGGCGCCGCCTGGCGCCTCATGGCATCATCACCCTCGGCGTCCTCCGCGCGCCCGGCTGGCATCTCTCTGCGCGCGGCTTGCCACACTTGCGGCGCTGTCGCGGAAGAAGGCTCCCCTTCCTCCGGTCACCTTGGCGGCAAGCCACCGCTTCCTCCAGTGAGAAGGAGCTTCCGCCCGATGGTGATGGGCCCCGAGAGGGATCATGGGCTCATCATTGCCGACAACCTTGAGGCGACCTATCGCCTCCTCGATCGACATCGTGGAGAGATCCAGCAGAGACTCGATCGAGCGAGCCATCCGCTTGTACTTCTCGGGACGCAGCGGAAGAGCTTTTCAACAGCTCTCTCCTCGCCGTAGGTGTGTCGTCGCCGAACGCACCATCTTCGCAATAGAGTGTTGAGACAGAGAGCAAAGTCATCAACGTCCTCATCCGGCTTGAAGGCGTGTTCTCCCACTCCTTGCGAAGTGCTCGTAGTGTGGACTTTGGCGGCGATGCGTTGCGCGTCGTGCCGCGACAATGGCGCCCCAAGCCTCCTTGGCGAGTCCGCTTCTTTGGTAAGCGAGAAGCGCATCTCGGCGGGATCTGCAGTGATGAGAGCATCCGGCGCCCGTCGATCTAGGTCGTAGTCGACGTCGCCGCACCGGACCGCCTCCCACATGTGCCGCACTGAGCTTTACCCTCATCACCGCAGCCCACTCGACGTAGTTGGTCTTGGTGAGGGTAGGTCACCCACCGCCGGGACCGACGTCCCTGACAACAGCCTGGAGCCCATGGTAACCACGGTACCGATCCGGGGAGAGAGAGCCACGCTGCCTGTGAAGGCCACGCTCTCCATCGACCCGTCGATACCGATCCGGGGAGAGAGAGCCACGCCGCGCGTGAAGGCCGCGCTCTCCATCGACCCGCCCGCCACATGCGTAGCTGCGCGCGCCTCCTCTAGGGAGCGCGCCGTCGCGTCGCGCCGCCTCCTCCGAGCGCCACCGGCGCGTCCGCGCCTGTCTAGGCTGCCACCGCGCTCGTGGGCGTGCGCGGCTGCCCCAAGAGCACCACCGCCGTGCGCGCCTCCTCCAGGAGCGCCGCCAGCGCGTCCGCTACGTGTCAGGCTGCCACCACGCTTTCGGCGGCGGCGCGGTGCGCCATCGCGCGCCCGCGCTTCGCCTGTTGCCTCCCTCTCTAGCAGCTCGAGGTCGCGTCGGCGGTGTCGTGCCGTGAAATGGAGCTGCCGATCTTTGCCGCCTTGCAGAAACCTCGACCCTCGCTTGCCGCCGCCGCGACGTATTTGCATTCGCCGCCGCCGTTGCCGCTTCCGCCTCCGCTCTTGCCTGCCGCCACAGCGACGCTGCCTTTGCCGCTGCGGCGATCTCTCGCCGCTTCGCTCGCGTTCTCTGCTGCGCGGCAAGTTCGACCTCTCGCCGACGCTTCGCAGCGAGGCGAGGCGATCGAAGGCCGAGGCGCCATGCGGACATGACGCGCTACTGTGGGACTGCTGCTGTGGGGAGAGGGTTGCTTCAAACAAGCCGCCTTTCGTCTGTCTGGGAGGAGGAGAGCGAGGAGCGGCCGGAGCTGCTTGCTTTCATGGTTGAAATGTTGTGTGTGGTGGGAGGAGATGAGCGGGGAGATGCTCGGGCTATAGGATACTATGGCTCGATCTGGGTTGATAGTCATTTGAATTCTCACTCTTGGTAGTAGAAGAATTCTTACTCTAATCGAGAGAGGATGACACTAGGAGTTAGGGCAATTTTCTTGTCTATTTCTCACACAAACTCACATTAAATGCTATGCCAACTCGAGGGTTGGGGTTACATATTTATAAGTCGCTAGCCAACCAAATATACGCCAAGAATCTACCTAAGATGCTAATATCTTTGTCTTCAATTTAAGATCTTTGTCCTCAAGCCCAAGATGCTATCCTAAAAACAGAAAAACATCCACAAGGACCATGTGAACAGTACAGCCCCACAAAGACGACACATGACACATGAGACTTATCCATCACCGGAGTCCCGACCGTCTCCGGAGGAGTCGACCTCATCGGCCATCTCTAGTCAAGGCGGCAACACAGCATGCCGGAGCTCTCCCGGAGCCGGAGGCCTGCCGCCTGCCCTGCAGCAAGAATATTCTGTTGAGATGCCAAACATTTCTGAATATGTACAGGTGAATGCAAGCAATTTTTGACGAAGCCAAGCACGTATCAAAATCACCGTGCAGCAGAGTTAGAAAAGGAGTGGCAGACCATAATGAGCCATTGATTGAACGTATACAGCGGTTCTCAAGAACACAATTACACAAGGAAAACTTGCCCCATATGAAGCTGGCAGTAGTGTCCTATCCTTATACAACTCTGAACCACAGTGGGCATTAATGGTTTATAAGCTAACACCTAAAGTACAGCTTTCCTGAAAATTCAGGAAAAAATCCAGTGGAAAATGGAGGCCGCTTCAGATCAGCACACTCTCTGCAGGCTCAAGCAACATGCCTAGTCGATCTTCACAGACGAATAAATCAATCTTGTGAACCAGAAGCAGGCGCTGAAGCCGATCGTACCGGTGAGCACACAGAAAGCACACGAGGCAAGAAGCATGTAGCCAAAGTACAGTATGCCCGACACCACCTTGGTGATCTGCAGCTTAGTGAAGAAGTAGAACCCGGCATACAGAAAGAGGTAGATTGCAGATGATCCTGAGGTCAGATAGGACCTCCACCACCACATGTAGTCCTCACTGCACAGCTGGAAATAGCACAGCACGATCGTGATCTCCACACAGGTGATGATGAGGATAATGAACACCAGGAAGAGAAAGCCAAAGATGTAGTAGAACTGGTGAAGCCAGATTGATGTCAGGATGAAGAAGAGCTCGATGAAAACTGCTCCAAATGGAAGAATGCCGCCAATAAGAATGGTGAAGGCAGGGTTCATGTACCAAGCCTGCTCAGGGACCTGTCTTGGGATCTTGTTTGTCTTCACCGGAGCCTCAATGGCAGGTTGCTTGAAGCCTAGATAGCTCCCAACAAATACAAGAGGAACCGAGATACCAAACCAAAGGAGGACCAAGGCAAACATTGTGGAGAAAGGAACAGCACCAGACGACTTCTCACCCCATATAAGAGCATTCAGGATGAAGAAAATACCAAAAGCAATCCCAGGAAACAGGAAAGCAGTCCTTAGGGTGATGCTCTTCCATTCTGATCCTTTGAACATCTTATATAGGCGTGAAGAAGAATAGCCAGCGAACAACCCCATCAAGACCCAAGTGAACAGCATGGCAGTCATCAGTCCTCCCCGGTTTGATGGCGAAAGGAAACCCAAAACAGCAAAAATCATGGTTACTAGCAGCATACCAAAGAACTGAACACCAGTCCCAACACAGACACAGAGTAAGTCAGAGTTTGCAGGAGGGCGGAATACGTCCCCATGAACAAGCTTCCACCCTGTCTCCTCTTGGGCTTGTTCTTCAGTTTCAAGCTGATTGTACCTAGAGATATCTCTATACAGGGTGCGGAGCATAATCATGGCCACCATCCCAGATAAGAAGAGTACGATCATGAGAGAGTTCACAATAGAAAACCAGTGAATTTGATCATCTGTCATTAACAGGTAGGTGTCCCAGCGAGAAGCCCACTTGACATCACTCTCCTGCAAAGCAATACCAAGCAAATCAGAAAACATTAAAACAAACTCAAAGTTTAAAATGTATTATTAAGTAATTTTGACAAATGACAACACAGTTCATGTAATAGATTCATCATGGAAAAATACTTTCATAATATATATAGAAAACATAATATACTTTTACAAAATTGCAGGTCAAAGTGTCACATTTAAGACCATGTCATCGTCCTAAATGGGCTACATTAAGAATCAGAGGGAGTATTAAGGAAAGGAGTTAGAGCACAAAAAGAGAAGCAGAAGTGAGAAATATCACCTCGAAGCCCACATCATAGGTAAATATGATTTCCTTTCCAGCTTCAACCTCCTGAGGAGTATCTGAGTTTACCACAAGCTTGCTGGCATGAGGATCACATGTGATTAAACGAGTGTTCTTATCATTCCATGGCCCTTCAAACTGGTGATTGATACTGGCACGAGAAATTTAACAAAGATGTATAAGTGAGTAAACAAGATAGTGTCAGCGTGTAAAAGACATCATACAAATAAAATATGGCAAGCATAACTAAAACAAACCTGAATGGTTTGACCTCAAATCCAACAATTCTAGAGAGATCTGTAGTTTCATCCTTGTGGTATTTTACTAAAAATGTCAAGTGGTTGTGGATAAAGGACTTCTCATCCTTGTTCTGTAACATATATATTTTATAATAAGATAACTACACCCTCTCAAGAGAAAAAAGGAGACCTACACACTGTTAAAAGTAAAACATCAGCTGAGCACACAAACTTACACCAGCATATTGGCCCTTGACACCAACATGATATCCGGCCTGGTAAACAGTAGCATCCCTATCCTGCCTTGCAATAGCAACAACTAGTGGGAGGTTGTCAAGAATCCTGTGAAGAAAATTCATCATTTAACTCCAGCATTGTCATGCAATCAAAATTACAGTATAAAATCCGTACATGTTCACCCGATACTCATCCTCTATCTTTTCCTTGAGCTCCTTTGCTTGTTTATCGTCAATTTTTGCTTTGCAGATAATCTGGCACATCTTGGGCTCCCCCATCTCAAACTACAGCACAAACGAGAAATGACAAAGTAGATGACAACTCAGTGATCTGGTACATTACAAATTACACAGGTGAATATGTGACAAGCAGTAATCTAGTACTGACCACATAAGGAGAGTTCTCAATGCGATCACCACGCAGAACTTCTCCAAGATTCTCTGCACTGTCAACTATCGTGTTTGGCTTGCAGAATGGAAGAGAGTAATATGAGTAGGGAAGTTGTGTCTTTGTGGATGTCAGCTTATTCACCTTCACCAAAAGTGGATCTTTCTGCAGAGAATAATGTATGAAGCAGTTAGAGAACATGCAACACATATTTCAGTAAAACAAAAGGCTAAGAATTAAGAAGGAAATGTAATGCTCTGATCATTAGAGGGATAGATTATTTTCCCCCCATAGCTCAAAAGATTGAAACACACACACCATTTGACATTTGTTTCTCTAAACATAACTACTAGCACACATACATGCTTGATACTTAAGGATCTGAAAATAATGGGTTGTCATGATTCATCAGAAGCAGAAGTGAATTAGCTAGCGTGATGCAAGGGCACATATGACTGTCAGACGGTAGTGTGGATCCACATGTTACACCAGGCAACAAGGACCAAGAGAAACAGATGTGAAAAAATGGTTTGGGATACAACGGCCTATTGTCAAAGAGAACACCACCTGTCAGCTGCCAAGTTCAAGCTATAAGTATCATGTATACAATGAAACATATGAAATTCACCTTCTGAGATCAAGTGGAGCATTTACTGTATGTACAAAAATTTGAAGAACTGCACATCTTGAATACGAGTGAGTACAGATTTGAGTACGCCAGGGTGCAGACTGTTCTGTACTCTGCACATTTTGAACACATGTGGGCACAGACTCTGGCATACTCACCGCACAATTATTTTCAGACCTAGCCAAAAGTGAATGCCAGCAGTCCAGAATTCCATATGCATCTCGTTCAAATGTCAGGAAGCAACTGAAGTGGTGGTGCGTCATTAGCACTGAGCAGCAACGCAGCCGTGCAGAAATGAAACGACAGGCACGCAATTCGTCAGATTACACCAGTGCGCACAGAAGCACCAAAGGATTATCATGTCAGGGGAATGAACAGTGTGTGCCACCCTCAACGACAGGAGTAAGAGTAAGGGAGCGAGCGAGAGCAGCAGGACCCCGAGATCCCAAACACCACCGCTCGCATCCAACATGATAAACACCAAACGATGGATCTGGCCGTCGAGATCCAGCGCGGAAGGATGGGGAGAACCATTACGTTACGAGGAAGGTGGGAATGAGGGAAGGGAACTGGACCTTGTGGAAGTCGTTGGGCGCCACGCCGGGGAGGTAGAAGGCGGCGGCCGGCGAGGCGGCGAGGAGCGCCGCGAGCGCGAGCGCGAGCGCCGCCGCGGCCCAGCGGAGCATCGCAGGAGCTCGCATCGGTGGGGGTTGGATCTGAGGCGGAGGAGCTCCCTCGCAGTCCACTGGTAGTCTGGCGCTGACGGAGAGACTCTCTGTGCTGTGGCCCTTCTCTGATGTCTCAACTCTCAACTCTGAACTGAGTGACGAGAAAAATGGTGAACGGGCCAGACAGAATTCGGGCCGATCCATCGAATGGGCTTGCGTTCAAGGGAAGTCAGATGGGCTTTGCGCGGCTCCAAAGTCGTTTTCTTCTCGTACAGTCGTTTTCTTCTCGTACATTTTTTTTAATATGGTACAGTGTTCTTCTGCGGCTGATAAGTCGGCTGAAGCTGATTTGATATGAGAGAAAAACACTATATCATGGCTGATAAGTTCAAGTGAACATGACAGCGTACATGCCCCAAAGTTAGTCAGGCCGTTGTTTGATCCCGACAAGCAGGCAACGCTGCTCCTCTCCTCCCAACAACCCTGTATTAAAAAAATTGTAAATCATTTAACTTTTCTAAGTACGTAATAAACATTATGTATTTAAATGTATAGAAAAGCTAAAATAAACTACGATTTATAATAGAAGGAGTAATAGTTTTCTACTTGATGAGGCCATCAGTGAGAATTTTAGGCCTGAAGCCAAACCAAAACTTAGGATCCCTTTTATAAATATGAAAAGTTACTCAAGATGCATATATAAATTTTTTACCATACTTAACATGTATTCAAAAGCAATATTTATATGAAATAATTATACGTATTAAATGACCTTAAAAATTTCTAACATTCCTTGATACAAAGTCGTTGATGACAGTGTCAATCTCATCCAATATAATTTCATCTCAATGCATAATGTTGCCAAGAGACATCAACAATTCTAATTTTGAGAAGGTTCTTTCAACCGATGCCAACATTGTATTCTATAGGCCAACATTGTATTCTATAGGACCCTCATCTTCTGGATTAATGCTAACATTGTCTTCCGTGAGGCCATCATCTTCTGGAGTAACACTAGTTGGCTCATCCACTCTTAAAAAAATTATTCATGAACCCACTTTGTGATTCTATCAACTCATTTACAAGTTCTCTCCTCTCTTTTTTTCCCTTTTCTACCTCCCAGGAGCATAATTTGTCATGGTGATGAAATTTAGAGAAACAATTAGTTTTAGCAAAACTGTAGAAGTATCATAGCAAGATAAAATAAAATATGATTTTTAGACTTTCATCACAGTTAGTGTCTGTGGTCTTTCTTGCTGGTTGCTGCCAAAGAATCACAACTTGCCAACTTAAATAACGACAACTAATGAGTACTAGTCTCATAGTTACACAATAAGTACTCATAGAATCTATTAGAGAATTTATCATATACAATTATTGTACCCTAACGAATGAATTAGATTCTCAATTGAGAAATTAATTAAAAGGAAGGGAGGAAACATATCGATTCACCCGAGATTGGCACAACACCACTGGCGTTAGTGCGTCATGATGAGGATGCTACACACGAAATGGGAAACTAGAACAACGACAGCCTCGATAATCCAAATGACGGATTGATCGATCACTCGGCCTCCTGATTTTTTTATGTCCCATGTGCTTTTGGAGGTAAGCCTACACATGACCTTACAAGGTACCAAACACTAGCTCTTTCTGGCCTGGCTCACTTCATACACGAAAAACAAACATGAGTTGCACCATCTCAGCATGTTCAAAGTCATCCTGCTAGCTTTGGCTATCCATATAGAGCCCACCTTGGTGCAGGGAAACAAACAAGCCCCTTGTTCTTGAATGCTTTGATTTGAGAACAAACGGACAAGGGAAGTAGAGAGAGAAAATGGATGATGGTTATGGAGCAGAGGAAAGAAGCAGAAAGAGAATTGGTGGCGTTGGGATTTGGTGTTGGTTGCCATGGGCAGCAGCGCGGCTCTAGCTTGAAGAAGAGCAAGGGTTGTTGGCCCACAGGATCACCAGCTCAGGTGAGTGAATCACTCACCAGTCTTACCGAGCACTCGCTAGTGTTGTCGAGCAACCACTAACCGTGTCGACCACGAACAAACGTTGTCCGTCCCCACGCACTATGGCTAGAGCTAGAAAAACAAGGGAGAACAGAGCACACACAGTACAAGACACCAGCGTTGGCCGAAGCCCTGTATGGGAGATGGCAAATCTGAACTCTTTTTATTGAGTTGCCGTGGTAGTCTATTTATACAACTTTATCCATCTAGTCCCAGTACAGCTGCCTTGCTGCAACAGTGACTAGATAACATATAGGGCTGACTCTGCACCGGCCTCTGCATGTGCCTACAAGGTCTTTGCAGAGTGAGCCATCATGGCGCTGCACACCACACCTACAGCTCTGATGATCACAAATGAGGGGTCTTTCGACGCCGTCTTCCCTTACTGTGTTCACACAAGGTAGCAATAGATTATCTAACAAGAGTGAGGGGGACGTAAGAGGTGATTGAGTTAAAACTCACCTTCATATAAGAATGAGGTAACTATATCCAACCTATCCAGACGACCAAACACAAGATTTAGACAATCTAAACTTAGTTAATACAAACAAACCAAACAACAGTCTTTTGCATAGCGGAAATCAGGCTTTCTTTGCCTTGGCCTAGCAAGCTATCCAGGCGAGGTCTAAAACAAGAACAAAACACACCCTTTGCGTCCAAGGTTCATTCAACGTCATCGTGCAAACAATTTGCACATATATAGTGGAATTTAAAGTAGTAAACTTCTTTGCACCAAGAGAGTTTTATAAAGAAAAGAAGTCTATGCAATTATTCGAAAAGTATATACTACCTCAGTCAGCAAAAGCTGGCGTTTAATATATAGTAGAAATGATTTGCCATCAAGTTAAAAATCTTGTATAAAACCTTGTATATACTACCTCTAGAAGTTGATTTAATTTGGGACATAGAGTGAGTACGTACTTGCAATGTAAGTATTTGGAATGTAACAGACCAATTCATGTTTATTTTACTCTCCAAGTTTCAACTTATTGAACTAATTATAGCACGGTCTACGAGATTGGTTTTACTAACGGTTAGCACACAGTGTGGACAAAACGTACTCCAAAAAGGATGTGGGGATTCTGATCGATCGATATTCTGTTATACTAGTAGGGACGGACCAGACCGGCCGGAGGGTAGGGCATGCAGGACCAACAGCAACCGCAAGCAAAGCTATATATATATCGAGGGAGATGAGCGAGATCCGCAAAGAGGAAAAGGAGCAAGCAGGTGAGCCCAAGAAGTTGAGTCCAAGCCGAGACAACAAGAACAACATCGATACTATATCCCTGGACTATATACTGATGAGTTTGCTGCTGCCCCAGGCATATACATGCATGTCATGTAAGCCTGCCGCGTCTGTCATTGTTTGAATAATGCAGTAACATGCAGATGCAGCTAACGCCCCAAGCTGCATGCCAAGAAGGTCCCTCTGAATGACTGAATCTCATTAGCTTGGAGGAGAAAGGCCCGCTACTGCTGCAAGCTGCATGCCAAGAAGGGCCCTCTGAATGACTGAATCTCATTAGCTTGGAGGAGAAAGGGCCGCTACTGCACACACACACACACACACACACACACACACACACACACACACACACACATATATATATATATATATGTGTGTGTGTGTGTAATTGATTTTTCAGTCTTTTGTCCTTTTTACTAATAACCTTCTCGATCACGTCCCCTGGTTAATTAGCTCTTCTATCTATTTGTGTAATATAAACATAATATTAACATAAGTCCTAACATATACACGCTCGTATCCTAGCTCATATATGTTCGATCTTCATGGGTTTCTCTTCATATATGATGATTATCTATTTACAACTTTCATTTTGATAGAGATGCGCTACAGGTTGTGGCTCTGATAGAGGTATATAAATGCAATATGATACATAAGTATAACACATGCATATGCATGCATGACCTGCAAGGGTAGCCAATGCAAAAACCATACATTCCAAATTAAGACCATGTTTGGATCTCCTAAAAAAATAAGAATCAGGTGGGAAAATGAGAATGAGATCCAAGCACTGGGATTCTAGCTAGAATGAGAATTTTTTTATCCAACTATCTATCTAAACCTTGCTATTTGGAGATTCTCACTATACAACAATAATCCAAGATCCAAGCACAATCTCTCTCTTTTTAATCTAGAATTCAGATTCTACATCACTATCAAGATTACTATAAGAATGAGACCCAAACAGTACATAAATCATATTAGAAGATTAATTTTTTAGGTAGACTTTGCAAGTCAGAACAATAGATTTTATATTCTCCTAAAACATTGTACATTAATCAATAGGCTAGGCAAAATATTATAGAACGATTAATGCAAGGTTTTCAAGATTTATCGAGGAGTGTTTTCTCTTACAAATGACCAATGGTTGTTGGTCCCCTATTTATAATTTCCTTTAAGAGCCAAGGGTTCTTTACTTCTTCAGTTTAAACTAGGCAATCCCCTAGAATTATTTATTAAATGCCCAATGACTTTTAGGGAATGTTAGCAGAGAGACTATTGGTGGATAAACCGTTGTCCCTGTCGGGGCAGAATGTCCAATTAAACTAAATAAAAACTAGGCATTTGAGAAAAAAATCGTGAAGAAGGATAATAATCATCGGTTACAGTTTGAGGAAATGCTAGGAAAATATTACTCCATCCCTTCTAAATTATAAGTCGCTTTGACTTTTTTAGTATATCCATTTTGCTATGCATTTAGATATAATAATATGTCTAGATACATAGCAAAATGAATGAACTAAAAAAGTTAAAGCGACTTATAATTTGGAATGGATGGAGTAAATGTCATGCAACGACACGACAGAGTTGATATATATCTTGACAACTATGCCCATATGGTGTTAGTATATAACAACAGTAGAAACCCTTCCCTAGTTTTTTTGCAGAAATCTCCTTTCTGAAGAGTTTGCATTGGTCCATAGAGCAAAGAAAAGTTACCCCCTGATAGAAGCACCTAGCTCATTTGTTGTATTTTTTTATCCTTCTCTCTTCCTTTTGTAATGTCTTGTTAACTTTTTTTTCTAATTTCTCACAGTAGGGGACCCTCCCCTCTTGTTTACATAAAAAACTTTCCCCATCAAAGGTAAAACGTGTTAGAGCATCTCTAATGGTTATAGAGTGTTATGGCAATAAGGATGTACATGTTACCGAGCCCA